TCGCTACTACAGTCAGCTTTCAGTTAGAAAAGGGAAGAGGAAGATTATGATGAAGGGGGGGCTTCTGCTGACCTCCATGGTCAATCCTAATTTCATACTCCACAACAGTAATCTTCTGTTGTGTCACTTTTCAGCTGTTTTTCAAATATTCCAGTTTTTCCTCTATTCCTCCCACCTTCCTTCTTTTCATCAACTTAATTCAGTCACTGCTGAGTGAATTTAAAATGCAAAAGTAGTTTGCATTCAGTTATTTGAGAGTACCGAGGAAGGAGAGGATAGAATCTTGCCCAGTAGGCTTAGGCCAAAACAAGACTCAACAATTTTTCTTAGCTTATGTGTTCTTCCTCATTTGCCATCTTCACCACATTTCAATGTTTGGCTACATCTGTCCCATCTATGAATGTTGAAGCCTATGTAATTTCTGAAATTCATAAAACCAAAATTATCAGTGTCAAATTTATAATTCCAACTAGAGCTGGAACTGCACTTCTAAGGGGGTAAGATGTAAGTATCAATAATAGAATTAATATCTGACTTGAAAACATGCTTTAAACTGTCAATTAAGCTGAATTAATAGTTATATTTTTACATGGATAAACCAGAAAGCAAGTAATTTGCACGTTTTTCCTTTCCCAGGAAGGGCAGCTTTAATAGCATTTAAATGATTTCCATTTACCAGGGGGCAAAAGTATATGAATGAATGCAGTTAGATAAAAATGTCATTACACTTCTATTTTGGATAGTCTATATCTGATAAATATAATTGCAAAAGTTTATCATGATAGAGACTGTTTCAGCATAATTTAAATAAAATCACTATGTTTTTTAAAAAGGATTTAAAAATTATATGTCTTCTTTGGACTGTATTTTCCATCTTATCTTTGCATTATCAGGAACGGCACACTGTGTATTATGTATAGCAACAATAGTTTGCTTTATAAGGTTAGAAATAGAATAGGTTGGAACTAAACTTTTAATAGCTGGTAACTTTAAAGAAAAGCACAAAAATGATGTGACTAAGCCTTTGTGCAAAGAAAGCTTTTCCTTATATTTGCCTTATTCTGCTTTTAAATAGGAGGCTTGCCACTATAAAACATGAAAAAAATGACCAGTAGCAAATGTTAAAAATTGAGATAAATGCCTAGGAGTCTGAAGAAATGCATAACATATATAAAACATCAGGAAATCTGCTACTTATACATTTGCTCCCGGTTACAAAGCAATTTTGCTGTTGTATTTGTTCATGTAATATTTAGGTACCTGAGATACTACCATTTGTATTTCAGCTTTGTGAAACATCTTGAAAGTCTGTGTTTTTCTTTTCTGATACAAATGTTGGACCTGACAGGAAACAAGAAGTTCTGTACTCCAATTCAGAAATGGGCAACCACTGCCCTCTAGATTTGTTTGAACTACAACAGCAGGAGACCATGGTTCCTGAGGGCATATTTCTTTCAATATGTGCCCATTTGCCAATTGAGGTCTGCTGGGGGACCTCCTAGGTTCCCCATTAGTGATGATAATATACTGTACTTGTAGGGGACCCCCTGCTTGGGGTCCTTGCTAAGTCCGTCACAGAGGGCAGCAAAATGAAGAGAGTCTAGTCTCCAGAGGTAAAGCAGAAATCTCTTTATTTCAAGTGTGGCCACACAGGGAGAAACAGCCAAGACAGACCAGTGTCTTCAAAGAGAGCTGTCTCTGATATTTGGATATTTCAGTCACCTTATATACATGTCTTTTCGCTGTGTCATGGGCACACACCTCTCTTATCGGATCATCCATTCAAAAACATGTTTTTCTCATATTTTGGTACTTCAGTGTCTCTAACTGCTAACCTTCTACAAACTACGTAAACACACACATTATTGTTACAGATAAGCATTTTGGGTGTTAACCCACCCTGAGTACTCCCTAGGCGAACTTGACAATACAGTATCTTGTGTCTTCCAGATTCATTATCTCCTCTTAGCTTTGGGTCTTCTGCAGGCCAGAGGAGAGGGACAAGCCTCTCTTTAGGTTTGCATTTCAGCACTTAAACACTTCTAAGTTCTGTTAACCCTTTCATACTTACTTAGGCGATTCATCGTAGTCCGAGGATGGTGGTCCTCCAAGTGTAGTATCCTGGCTGTGGGTCCGTAGGTGATTGTAGAGCCCTATTCTTGATCTGCATGTTTTCCTGCAGTGATGGCATGTGTTTCCAGGTGGAAGGCGGTCCCGGTTGGGGTTGGCTTGATGCACCTTCCTCTTGGCATGTTTCTCTCTTTCTCTCTCCATTCGTGCCTCTTCAAATTCTGCAGCACTGTTGGTCAGAGCTGACCTCCAACTGGAGCACTCACAGGCCAGGGCTTCCCAGTTCTCAGTGTCTATGCCAGAGTTCTTAAGGTTGGCTTTGAGCCCATCTTTAAATCTCTTTTCCTGTCCTCCAACATTATATTTTCCATTCTTGAGTTCGAATGCTTTGGGAGACGGTGATCGGGCACACAGACAACTTGGCCAGTCTAGCAGAGTTGATGGTGGAGGACCAGTGCTTCAATGCTGGTGGTCTTTGCTTCTTCCAGGACACTGACATTTGTCCACGTGTCTTCCCAAGAGATTTGCAGAATTTTTCGGAGGCAGCGCTGATGGAATCGTTCCAGGAGTTGCATGTGATGTCTGTAGACTATCCATATCTTGCAGGCACATAGCAGGGTTGGGAGGACAATAGCTTTATAACAAGCACCTTGGTATCCCTACGGATGTCCTGGTCCTCAAACACTCTCTGCTTCATTCAGAAGAATGCTGCACTTGCAGAGCTCAGGCAGTGTTGAATTTCAGTGTCAATGTTGACTTTTGTGGAGAGGTGGCTGCCAAGGTAGCGGAAATGGTCAACATTTTCTAATGTTATACCATTAAGCTGTATTTCTGGCATTGGAGAGGGATTGGCCGGTGACTGCTGGAAGAGCACTTTGGTTTTCTCGATGTTTAATGACAGGTCAAGCTTCTCATATGCTTCTGTGAAGGTGTTTAGAGTGGCTTGAAGGTCTTCTTCTGAATGCGCACAGATGATGTTGTTATCAGCATACTGGAGTTCCATAACAGATGTTGTTGTAACCTTGGTTTTGGCTTTCAGTCTGCTGAGGTTAAATAGCTTGCCATCTGTCCGATTGCCATCTGGGAAGGTTGATTTTGTTTCCTGCATTTTTCTTGGAGCTGTCATGCAGTGAAGATCATGTCCACTGTTTCTCTGGAGGGGCGGAAGCCGTTCTGGGAGGGTGCCTTCTGAGAGGGGTAGAAGGCGGTTTGCAAGGATTCTTGCGAGGACTTTCCCAACGGGAAAATACTGTACTGTATTGGGGCATGAAAAGGGGAATTTCTCAGTTGTGGCTCTTCAATTATGGTACTCCCTCTCCTTGAAATCTTGATTGGAGTCAATGCTAGCTTTATTTAGGTGGCAAGTGAAATCTAGACTCTTCAACCGTGAAACTTTGGGGTTCACTAATTCATCTCATCTATTTTTTAAAATACATAAGTTTTTTTCAAAATAAAAATACATAGATAGACAAATCTTCATAACTACTGACTTTGAAGAAAAGTACACAAATGATGTGACTAAGCATTTGTGCAATGAAGACTTTTCTCTGGAACTCCCTCATCAGGGAGATTAGGCTAGCACCCTTGCTACCCACATTCCATAAGGAATTAAAGATGTGGATGCTTCCTTGTGCATTCGACTGATGACTCCTGTGACAGATGATCTGAATCATGACCCGAACCCAAATTCTTATATTTCATTACTACATCTTTAAGTTAAACGGAATTGATCCTGTTTAACTGCTCTATTTCCAAGCTATTTTCTATGCTACTATACGTTTCTGTCCACCTTATTGACCACTGTATCCTTTAACTAGTTTTCACATATTGGCCTCCTCCCCCACTCCAAAAATGACTCTGTTGTTTCTTTTGATGCTGTTTATTATTGTTATGCTGCTTTATGCTATTTTAATATGTTATTGTTCGGTTTTTAATTGTATATTGCCTTGTGCTTGGCCCCGTGTAAGCCGCCCCAAGTCCCTTCGGGTAGATGGAGGCAGGGTAGAAAAATAAAGTCCTCCTCCTCTTCCTCCTCCTCCTCCTCCTCCTCCTCCTCCCCTCATTTGCCTTATCCTGCTCTTAAATAGGAGGCTTTCCATCATAAAACATGAGAAAAATGACCAGTAGCAAATGTAAAACATTTTAAATTGAAATATATGCCTAGTTCTGGAGGATTACCATTTGTTAATCTCTGCAGGAATTATTCTGCAGTTGGCTGGAAGACTAACTGCAGTATCTTGTGTATGCTCAGCCTGGGAAGAAGAAACACCCAATCAGAACATGTGAAAGTGGCAGCACACAATCCCATGAGTTTGGGCGTGCCTTAGCACTACCAGTGGACATTCTGCCATGAATGATACTGTGATTGGAAGTAACGAATAAACTCCTAATGATGAACACAAGACAGACCATTTGTTTAATCAAATGCTATTGGTTAATATTGTAAAGATCAGTATTATCTCAGTGGGTTTCCCTTGTGATATATTCAAAGGGGAATAGAAGTTATTCTATTTTAGTTAAATTGTTTGTATGCATAACTGTTCTTTTCTTTGTAAGATGCCTTCAGTTTGTTTTAAAGATATCTAATAAAGGTATCTCCCCAACTTCACATTATATGTCCATGCAGTGAGATAGGATAAAAAACCCCCTCAAAGTAGACATTGAATGGCATCTTTCTCCTTTCTGTGCAGATTTTCAACATTTTTTCAAACACATTTCAATCCGTGTAGGAAAATGTATGAAGCATCACTTGAAAAACAGTAAGAAGTGATTCATGATGTTCCCATGACCCCATATCAATTTTGAATTTAAGGGCACCAGAATAATACGTTCCTTGTAAAATCTAAGTGACATCTGAAAAGTTAAACTGATAAATATGCTCTTTAAAAACTCTTCTTCACTATTTTAAAATAATTTTTATTCTGTTATAGGAATAGTGGAGTGAACTGGATTGAACTCCATGAAGTATGATTCTAAGGGATAGCTGGTTTTGCGCTCATTGGGCATGGCAGCGGACAAGAAGATTCTTGGTTGTACTTGCTCTCTTGCTGCTACACACCTCCAATCTGGAAGGCAGAAAATCACATCAATTTGCCTGGAAGACAGGTAGGCATGAATACGTACTTCATTCACCTTGGTTCAAATTCTGTGCACAGTTGAGGAACATTGGACTTAATCAAAAAAGATTCAGGATGTATAACAAATACAGTGCATAAGAAATACAGAGAATAGAGAATGAAATGTGTCTTTTTATGTTCCATCAGGTTGGCTTTATTTTGGTTGTGGTAGGGACAGCTGTATCACTTGGTTTTTTTTAAAGATGAAGAGCAGTTGTTGTTGTTATTATTTATTATTATTATTATTATTATTATTATTATTATTATTATTATTATTATTATTAGATTCACAACAAGAATAGTACATAGCAAAAAAGCTCAATATCCTGCCTTTTTATTCAATCACATGTCAGATACTTCCCAAATGTTTAGGACTTTTGTGTAGTGTATCAGTGAATAATGCGTGCAGATCTGAGTAGGGTGGCCTTTTGCAGCTGACAGATGGTAATTTTGTCAGTGCTTATTGTTTTTAAGTGTGGGCCAAGGTCTTTGGGCACTGCACCCAGTGTGCCTATCACCACTGGGACCGCCTTTATTGGCTTGTGCCAGACTCTTTGCAGTTCGATCTTTAAATATTTGTATTGTGTAAACTTTTCAAGTTGCTTCTTGTCAATTCTTCTGTCGCCTGGAATTGCAACATCAATGATCTATACTTTTTTTCCAATGATCATAAGGTCAGGAGTATTGTACTCCAAAACTTTGTTAGTCTGAATTCGGAAGTTTGACGTGTTCATTTTCTGTAACCTTTTCATTATGTATGTATGTATTTATGTGTGTATGTATTTATTTTTATCCTGTTTTTCTCTCACGGGTGGGACTCAAAGCGTCTCCTTAAGATCAACGAGCTCAAACAGGCCAATCTCCCCATCCCACCCCAACCCACCTCACCCCATCCCCAAACTACTGTGTGTTTTTATTCAGTTGTTTTCACTCCCAGTTACTTCAAGATGTAGTGGTTTAGTCTCTGCATAATTCCACATGTTCATAGCTTCATGTGATCTTACTGCATCTTTAGAAAATCATAGATCCTTGGGAAACAGGAAGCAATGGCAGCTTGCCACAGTTTTAATAATTCTTTTCTGTAGATAGATATGAATCTTCTGCAATATAACCTACCAAATGATGTGATAGGGTCTCCATGTTTGACCTACAGTTCCAGTTGTTGGGCTGCTGTCATTCACCCTAGCTTTTTACACTTAAGATCCCACATTAAATATGTTACTTGGTCTCAGTTTGACCACAATAATGTATCAGCAGAAATGCTTATTGGTGGGTTCAGTTTGATATCACATGACACAATTATCTTATTAAGTTAGAATTAAAATATGTCAAGGCACAGAGGTTAAAAAGGACAGGGAAAGATATATAATAGTATAACACACAAGTTAAACAAGTAGGATTATGTTGGCTCCTTCCAAAATATAACATAGTGATTTCTTCAAACAAAGTAATACTTTCCGCATTGCTCATCATGCTATATAACCTATCAAGCTAACTTCTTATTTGGTCCTCATTAGCTCAATAACTGTTTCCAATTTGTTCCATCTACCTCTAACCATAAATAAGACCATAGCTAGCCTTAGTTATCCATCAGTCCTGTCCTCACATTTTTTTTTGTAGCAGTCTGCCCACTCAGAAACTGATTATTATCACAGAGCTCATTGGTTATTAGTCTTATGTTTTGTTTTTATATGTTGTTTTCTGTTTTCTGTTGTTGTTTAGATATTTTAATGTGCTACATTTTAAGCATGCGGATCAAGCTCGTCCCCATGTAAGCCACCCTTTGGGGAGATGGAAGCAGGATACAAAAATGAAATTATTATTATTATTATTATTATTATTATTATTAGCTAATCATTTAATAGGGAAGTATCTGGTTTTATATTATTTCTCCCATAACCCACCTCCCCAGCATTTTGAAGATTGTGATTAGCTGGCTTTACTCAGTCCATAATAATGAGTGAGCTCTATTTTACTAATGTTCTTAACTGCATTCAAAAAAGCAGTGGATACAAGTTCAACCACATTATAGCAGCCTTAAGGTTATCACAGTCCTCAGAATTTTGACCTGCTAATGATGGCATGATCAATAGTTGTTGACAGGGAGGGAAATACCTGTGTGAACTTTTCCACTGAATGGCATTTCTGCAGTGACATGAAGGGATAGAATGCTTTCTGTCTTCTATTGTCTGCTTTGATAGTGTGTTCCTGCATGGCAGGGAGTTGGACTGAATGACCCTTGTAGTCTCTTCCTACTCTACGATTTATGACTCTGTGATTCTACTGTGCAAGAAGCAACTTTATCTGCACTTGTACCTACCCATGTATAAGTCATGTGTCATAGCAGTCATACACATAATTGGCACCTGGATTGCTGAAACAGGAATTGTTGGGGCAACTTGATTCACATCCCATGCTTTGTAGTTATCCCCCTTCCTTATTCCTAAGCAGGGGGCACAGAACTAAACAAACTCACAAAGACTTGCTTTTCCTTTCCTTTTTTCTTCCTGTTTTGTTGTACCCAGTACATAGGTTTGGCATTTTCTTCTTTTATCAGATGACTTGCTTATTCAGTGCTAGTATGTGGTGTTTCTGACATTTTTTTCTAGTATGCTTCTCCAGTACTTTGTCAGTTTCCATAGTTGGAGGTTTCCTACCTATCTTCCATTTCATATGGAGGAAAGGAAAGGAAGAAAGAGTCCATTTGACTTGAGCTGATCCTTTTCACATATTCTTTTCTCACACTAAATATTGGCTTAACATATAACTTAGGAACAACTGTTTAAATCTTTTTTAAATTTTTTTAAATTTAATTTTAAAAGACAAAAGATAGCAGTATAAAACATTTAGGGATCTTTGTTTTTCATGAGGTCACCATCAATGTTGTTAATGCAAATGTTAACATTTTCATTCCTGAATAACATAGTCAGTTTTGACATATAGAAGTCATCAGGTTACTTTTCGCTTTCCTTTCTAGGCATATTGAACTGAATGAAAGGAGGTCTATGTAAACATACTTATGAACTCAACTTTACCTGTATTTATGAGTCCAGTTAAATAGAATATTTGCAAACACAATGCATGAGATCTAAGCTCAATGTTTGTAAAATTAAATACTGATACTATAAACTTGTCATTTATAGCATTGGCGTGGTATTATCACTTGTAGAGCATTAGCATAATTTTCATTTAACACCTTCATGGAAAGTTTCTATAGAGGTCATTTTAAATTAGCATTAACCCTTTAGAAAGAGAAATAAGTTGTTACCTGTGTTTTTGCATAATGGTATTTCCAACAGAAAGACCGAGTTACATTTATATTGTGAATTGGAAGTGTGAGCTATTGCTCGTAAGGTTTTAACCCTTCCTAGGAATTTCATGTTCAGTATTTATTTTGACCTTTGCAGGCTTACTTTCATTGATTCTATGAGGCATCTCAGAAGTTTTAAGAAATTTTAAAATGTAATTGAAAACAATTGATCTTTTTCTTGGATATGTGCTCAAAACACTTGTGAGGAGTACATCACTTTCTGATTTGTAAATCTCATGGCCAAAATATAAAATGTGTTCAGTGGAATGAAGCAGAATATTACACTTCACTGTTGCCCTTTGTCACTGATATTAAACTATGGTAAAGTACAAAAAGTCACATATGAAATGCCACTGAATTTTTAAAAATCTTGGAATGCCATTGTTTTTCCATTTTGGGCTCATCTATAGTAGTCATTTAATGCAGCTCTAAGCCGACTCAAAAATGTCTGCCGCAAATGCATTCTGCAGTGTGCATTAAACAAAGTCACAGGAAAGTCCAAACCAAACCTTGTAATGTGCTGCAGCAGATTGCACTGTATCCAAGATCCAGGGAGAAGTTAGCTTCACAAAATGACGAGCACATTATAGACACCTGTCCCTGCTGAAGATCATTATAAAATACAGAACATGGACTACAAAAAAGAAAAGAAAAAAATGACCAAAGGCATGGCTAACTAACTCCATGTTAGTGATATTGTAATTCATCACCTCTACTCTTAACAATAACTTTCCTTTTTTCCAGCCTATATGCTTCTTGAGTGCTGATGCGCATCTCTGCAGGAAAGGGGGGTAAAAAATCCACACAGACTATTTGAGGCCAGGTTCCGTTGTTAATGTAACTATCTTCCTGGCTTCAAACCAGTTAAAGACCTGTTAAACTAATCAGCTTCACAGCAAAACTAGTTCCTCCCAAATAAGTTCCAAATTGTATTTTAGTGTCATTGTAGATGGGACCCTTGCCTCAAATGTTGGAATGAATTGAGAGGATGAAGTTTTGGAAGTTTTCAGCAATTTTTTTTTACTTGGGTTGGTATTGTTTAAGATTATAACTGTTGAAAAAAGCCAGTAATCTAGGATTCCTAGATGAAGCTACTGAGTTAATTGAATCACTGAGACCTTGGAGAGCAGGTGGAAGTCACATTGTGTAAACTCACATGAAGCACCAGTGTAAATGTGACTCCAGAAACATTCAGTGCCTGTGCGGGTTCCAGAAAGGTATTTGTAACACCTTCGTCTAAGGGGGCTTCATCTTAGCATTCACAGTATCTCTCAGACATAGTCTCTGGTAGTAGACAGTAAGGAAATAGTTAAAAGAGAGATGTTGACTTTCACAGGTTGGTTGGCAAGTTACAATATTCAATTTTAGAAATTCATGTTTCCCGACAGCTCTTGGATAGTATGGTAAATATTGGTTGCAGGCACCTAGTGGAAACAATTTTATTTGCTGATTTGCTTATAGTTTTAGTTATTGTATTGTTTGTGTAGCGTTATTACTTGGAATGAATTTCCATTACGCTGTTGTGCATATACTTTATTATAGTCTGCAACCGTGCATTTACAAAAGACCAAATGCATCCTAGCAATTTACTAGATGTTTCCTTTTTACAGCATGTTCAATAAATGTTTCCATTTATAAAAGAATGCGCCTTGATAATTGCTAGTTCTGCAGAAAATACA